GAAACCCAAGGAGGGGTTGCTATGAGTCGGGGCCGACTCGACGGCACATAACAACAACAACAACATACGCATATATATTGAATACAGATGTATGTACATACACTTAATTTTTCATATACATGTATGTGTGAAAATAAATCAGATCCCTCTGTAAATGTATAAAATATAGTACATATATAGTAGTTAATATAGTACATATATAGTAGTTAATACCTTTCTTTTTCATTTTATTTAAAAATATAATCTAGAACTAATTTCCTACCATTTCATAGAGAGCTTCTGCATTCTTCTTTGTTTGCATAGTACCAAACTCTATTGATGCACTATAGTTTATTCAACCACTTTAATGGGCCTTTAGGTTGTTTACAGTATCTTGCTTTTACAAGAAATGCTATATTGAAAAATTACATCTATGTTATGTCTTATTTGTACACATATATTTTAGAAGTACATCTCCCCAAAGTGGTATTGTTGAGTCAAAGGGTAAACACATAAAAAGGACTGTTGAATGATGCCAAGATACTCTCTGAAGGAGTTGTACCATTTTGTAGTCCCACCAGCAATGTAAGAGAAGACATGTTTTCCCAGTCAGGCCAACAGACTGTCCAGTTTAACAGGTGACAAATGAGACTTCAGTGTCGTTTTAATTTGCCTTTATTATGACTTGAGTACTTGTTCATATACTTAAAAGGCATCTGTTTGTATTTCTGGAAACTGCTCATCTCTGAAGCATTTTTAATTGCATTTCTATGAAGGAGGTTTTATCCATGATATATTTTGCAATATTTTCATCACCTTATTATTTTAACTTTGCTTGTGGGTTTTTCCCCCTGCATTTTTTTTAATGTATAAAATTTTATCATTTTCTGGATATTACTTCTTTTAATGGTTAGAAAGGTTTGCCTCACGCTCAGGTTTTAAAAAAGGCCATTTATGTTTTCTCCTAGTTGCTTTATGGTTAAAATTTTACACATTGATCTCTGACATTTGCAATTTACTCCATGTGATGTAAGATATGAACCACATAATGTTTCTTTTCAAAATGGCTATCCTTTGGTCCCAATTCCATTTATTTTAAAGTCCATCTTTGTACTCAGTGGTCTAGATAGCATATTTAGTATACTACATTTCCATATATGCTTAGATCTACTTTTGTACTTTCTACTGTTTCATTAGGAGCTCTGGTGGTGTAGTGCCTAAGGCATCTGACTGCTAACCAGAAGGCTGACGGTTCAAACCTACCAGCCACTCTTCAGAAGGAAGGTTGGGCAATCTACTTCCATAGAGATACCGCCTCAGAAACCCAAAGAGGGGTTGCTATGAGTTGGGATTGACTACTAATCAACCTATGCCACACCATATTGATTACTTCCCTATGCTCTTGGTCTAACTTGTAAAAACCAAAGGAGAGCTCACTTCATCCTCTGGTAGGCATTTATGGTTAATTCTGGAAATTTCCCTCACCAGCCCTTAGCTTTGTACAAATAACTTCTTACTCAACATATAATATGCATATAGTCAAGTACCCTAGCCTATTGTGCAGGAGACATCACAATAGGATGAGTCTTTCTTAATACAATTTTTTTATTGAAGTGTTACAAACCCAGAAGTGAACAATTCTTAAGTGTAGAGCTCAATGACTTATCACTAAGTGAATCAGGTCAAGAAAGAGAATTATATCAGCATCTCGGAAGGCTACCTTGTGACCCATCTTCTTCTCCAAAAGTACTCTATAAGGAAAGAATTTGAACTAAGACCAACTGATAGATTCATTTTACCTTTTGAACTTTATATAAACAGAATCATACAATATGTATTAATTTTTGCCTGGCTTCTTTTCCTCAACCTTGTTTGTGAGATTCATCCACATTGCTGAGTATAGTAGTTGTTCATTCATGTTCATTGTTGTATTTGATTGTGTAAGTATACCACAATATATTTATCCATTCCTTAAGGAGCATATGAGTTGTTTCCAGTTTTTTGGCAATTATGAATAATGCTGCTATGAATATTCTCTTATACATCTTTGGGTGTGTTTCTTTAGGTATATACACAGTAATAGGTTTCCTGGATCATGGAGCATGATTATATATAAGAATAGATAGATAGATAGATAGATAGATAGATAAGAAATATATAAGAATTTCCAAAGTAGTAATAACAGTTAACTCCTTCTGGTAGTACATGAGTTCCAATAACTTGACATCTTCACCCAAATTTGGTCATATCAGGATTTTTCATTTTATCCATTTTTATTGGAATAAAATGGTACTACATTGTATTTTTAATTGTGCCTAAGGCTTTGACTGCTAACTAGAAGACTGGCGGTTCAAACCCACCAGCCACTCCTCTGAAGGAAGGTTGGGCAATCTACTTCCATAGTGATACTGCCTTGGAAACTCATGAAGGGGTCTCTGTGAGTCAGGTTTGACTCGATGGCAGTGAGTT